TCACATGACCTTATGACCCCAGGGAGGTGGGTGATCCAGCCTCCCAGCCTTTCTGGACACCCCCATCCTTTTCTTCAGCCCCAGACTGTTCCTCACACAGGATGCAGGATGGGGGTGGGGGCTGCCGAGCAGGGCTCTGGCACCCCCCTGAGGGCCTCCTTTCCCCATAGTATGAAAAGATCCTGAAGCTCACTGCTGATGCTAAGTTTGGTGAGTAGCCACTGTGTCCACGGGCCCTGGGTGGTCCTGGGTTCTCAACCTGATGCTGGCATGGAGGACCCCTCCTCTAGCAGCCTCCCTAGCTCAGCTGCCTTAGTGGAGTAGCATGAGGGAAAGAAACTTCAGTGATCCTGCCCCCATCCTCTGCCGGCTTCTGGTGGGGCAGTAGCAGTGCCTGTGGCTCAAGGAAGCTTTGGGCTCTGAGCTGAAGATGAAAGGGCAACAGAAAGGTGGCTGGAGCCACAGTGACACCCTGTGCCACTTATGGGTCTGCAGAGTCAGGTGATGTGAAGGCCACAGTCGCTGTGCTGAGTTTCATCCTCTCCAGTGCAGCCAAGCATAGTGTGGATGGCGAGTCCTTGTCCAGTGAACTGCAGCAGCTGGGACTGCCCAAAGGTACAGGATGGGGATGGGCAGGTGGTTAGCCTGTGGGCAAGGGCTGCTAAAGAGCAGGCCAGGCTATGTGACCCTGGGGTGTGCCTGCCCATTCTGGGCTTGGAGCCCGAAACCTGCCCTCTGGGTGGTCCCATCCATAGCCCCACCTGCCACCTCAGCCAACTGCCATCTGCCCCTAGAGCATGCAGCCAGCCTGTGCCGCTGTTACGAGGAGAAGCAGAGTCCCTTGCAGGAGCACCTACGGGCCTGCAGCTTACGTGGTGAGTATGGGGCCCAGCAGGGTAGGTGCCAGGCTCCACTCTGGAAGGTGCACGCAGTGTGCTGACTGCCAGTTCTGAGGCCTCAGCACATGGAGCAGGTGCAGGGCTGGGACCTGGCCCTAGATCTCCTGACTGCAGTCTAGAAGTTTTTATTTTCTTTGAGGCTTGTGGTGAATATTTGAATTCTTAATGACTGAGTACCTGCCCTGTAACAAGCCTGGGTCAAAGGGCAAGAGCTTGAGAGACCACACAGCCTCGAGGTATTACAGGCCAAACCAGGATGTGGACCGCAGGCTGCCTGGCTCGCCTGCCTGAGAGATGCCCTACCCTGTTCCACAGTAAACAGGCTGGCAGGAGTGGGCTGGAGGGTGGACTATACTCTCAGCTCCAGCCTGCTGCACTCTGTGGAAGAGCCCATGGTGCACCTGCGACTGGAGGTGGCACCTGCCCCAGGTGCCTCGACTCAGCCTGTGGTCATGTCCCTCTCAGCAGACAAGTTCCAGGTTCTCCTGGCAGGTGAGGTTCAGCTGCACCTGGAGGGGTGAGGGGCCCTCCCAGACCTCATTTGACTGCTTCCCTCCTGTCCATTTCTTGCCCCTGCAGAACTGAAGCAGGCCCAGAGCCTGATGAGCTCCTTGGGCTGAGAAGGGTGCTCCTGACCTGTGCAGAGCTGCCCTTTGTGTGTCGAGTTGCTGCCCTCTAAAACTCTTCTGGGCCTGGCCCCAGTTCTAGGATGCTGGGGGTGCCTGGTCTAGTCTCCTGGCTTCCCCCTTGAGACTTCAGCATTGGGCTTCTGAGGAACTGCTCTAGCATTTTCTCTCCTTGAAAGGCACTTTCAGGTGCTTTTGTGAGCAGGAAAAATAAAAAGGAATGTAAAGGAGTATATGTGAGGGTGTTTTTTTTTTCCTCCTCCTTCTTCTTTTTTCTTTTTTCTAATTAAGGGTTTTTGTGAAAGAAACCAAGTGACATTCTGACCTGGCCCATCACTCGTTTTCTCATTGCTGACTGAAGCCCCAAATGAACAGTGTGTCTGTAGATAGGAGTGTCTGTAGATAGGGTGCTGGCTCCTAGACTTGTGATGTTCTTGGCTCTGCCCTCTCTGCACTGGTCTTGTCTTCAGGTTGGTAGCAAGTGAGTGGCCCAGATGCCAAATGCCCTGTGTCTGCCCTCTTCTGTAGAAAGAGAGAAGAACCCAGGCCTAAACCACTCAGTGGCAACAGCCTCCTCTAGCAGCCTCCCTAGCTCAGCTGCCTTAGTGGAGTAGCATGAGGGGAAGAAACTTCAGTGATCCTGAGTGGTGATGTCCCTACAGTTTGAATGTGGAAGCCATGCTCTCCATGTGTGTGCACTGAGAAGGGCTCTGTGAGCGCAGGGAAGGAGGTGGCTGTCCACAAGGCAAGAAACAGGCTCTCATTGGGAAATGAATCTGCTAGCACCTTGATCACGGACTTCCCAGCCTCCAGAACTGTGAGAAATAAATTTAAACTACCCAGTTGGTGGACTTCCGTTCTAGCAGCTAGAGCTAAGTTGTCTGGTCTCAGGATTGGCTTAGGCTAACCAGAGCTCCTTTTGGAAAGACTGATGCCAGGGTGGGGCAGGGAGAGTCCAAGAAGAAGATCTCTAGAACTCTACTCATCTTACATAACTGAAACTATATACCTATTGAATAGCAACTTCCCCTCTTCTGTGCCCTCATTCTGATAACCCATCATTCTCCTTTCTGCTTTAATCTTTGTTGTTTAGACACCTCAAATAGACATGCAGTATTAGTTCTCTGTGACTAACTCACATCACTTAGCATAATGTCCTGAAGGTTATCTATGTTGTTGTCTATGGCAGGATTCCCTTTTTTAAAGTTGGGATACTACTCCACTGTGTGTATATGCCAGATTTTTAAAAAATCCATTTATCTGCAGATGGACCTTTAGGTTATTTCCATGTCTTATCTATTGAGAGTCATTCTGTGATGTATATTTTATCCTGATTGTGGCTATAGTTGCACAACTGTATGCATTTGTCAAAACTCACACTGATAAGGGAATTGTAGTATATATAAATTACATCTTAATTGAAACAAATGAGAGAACAAAAAATCAAAGCACACTATAGGTTGCTTTAGTGATCACAAGGTATGAAACACTTTTCATAATGCCGAGGTCTAGCTGGATGTGGTGGCACACCACAAGTTGCCTGTAACCCCAGCAACTTGGGAGGATTGTGAATTCAAAGCCAGCCTCAGCAATTTAGTGAAGCCCTAAGCAACTCAGACCCTGTTTGTTTATATATATATATATATATATATATATATATATATATAGTTGGAGATGTGGTTCAGTGGTTAAGCACCCCTGGGTTCAATTCCTGGTACCAAACAACAACCAAAAAATGCAGAAGTCTGACTGTCACAGCCTCCCCCATAATCAGTTTGATCCTCACTAAAGTGGCATAACCCAGTATTTTGTACATCCTGATGTGATGCAATTTGGAGTATACAGCAGCATCTAAGAGGTAACACTGAATGTGTATGATCCAGCATTGAGCCTTCATTCCATCATGCAAAAAAAACTCCAGATAGTGGAACAAGTTAATGACACTCTGAGAAACATTCAGAGAAATCCTGAATGTGAATGTGACTCACATGTCCAAGGAACAACTTGAACTCTCAGAAAGGTCAGTATCAAGATTAAAAAAATAATAATAATAAAAGGAAGGATAAGGGGATGAGGTGGGTAGGATGGGAAAAACAAATCAACTATATATCTGGTCATGGTGTCCCTAAGCAATTTAGCAAGACCCTGTCACAAAAAATAAAAAGGCTGAAGATGTGGCTCAGTGGTTAAGCACCACTGAGTTCAATCCCAGGCAAACCCCTCCCCCTCCAAAAAATAGTGTTTTGGGGACAAGTAGGGAGATTTGGATGTGAACTAGGTATTAGATGACATTAAGAAGCAGTTATTGGGGCTGGGGATGTGAGCGTGCTCACCTGGCATGCGTGAGGCACTGGGTTCGATTCTCAGCACCACATAAACAAAAATAAAGATATTGTGTCCACCTAAAACTAAAAAATAAATATTTTTTTAAAAAGAAGCAGTTATTAACTTTTTTGATATGATAAAGGTATTGGCTTTGCAAGGAAATTGCTTTTTAGAGGTAGATGCTGAAGTATTGGGGATGAAATGTAATGATTTGTCTACTTTTAAAGGCTTCTGGCTAATAGAAGTGAATAAATAGGTGAGGGAGCAGAGTAGTATGATGAAGGGCATGTCATGGGTAGGGGCAGGCACCAGTGCCTGCTACAAAATGCAACTTAAGAGAGGCCTCCCAAGGTCCAGTATGGCCCTCTGTCCTCCCCATATAGCACTACCTCCAGCTACACTGCAGCCACACAGCACTTTTCCAGGTTCTTTCAACCCATCTGGGAGACTTTGCACGGTTCCTTCCTGCCTGGCATACTATCTTGTTCACACTTTTTGTGCCCAAGGCTGTGACAGCCAGACTTTAGCATTGTGAATCCGACATAGCCTAAATGTCTCTGCAAAGCAACCCTCCCCCATAGGAGTCAGAACTATCAGAAGTGGGTTCAACTTCTGGGCGTCTGGTTTTTGTTGCTTCACTGCCCTTTCCGCCCAGCAGGCAGTGACGATGTTTTTGTTTGTGTTATGATGGACACTTAAAGCCATCACTGGGTCCCCAGGGCCTACGTTTATGGTGCACCTGTGCATCCCTGCGCACAGCTGCAGGTGGCTTTGCATTGGGACGTCACTGTTTCCTGCTGGGGGTGCTGATTCTGCTCGGGACTAGCAGACCACTTCCCCCAGCTGCACACACCTTTGCAACTCAGGACCCCAGATTTGACCCCATTTCCTGCTGGCGTCGGGCAGCGGGAAGACAGGTTTTTCCTCCACCACCCGACCAGGTTACGGTCTCTAAGGTTGTCCCACATCCAGGAATCCCCCAGCTTGAGGGGGACCCATCTCAGTCTGTGCGATCTCCCGGAGGAACTACACTTCCCAGCAAGCTCCAGCGGGGCAACCACGACTCCCAGAGTTCCTTTAGGCTCTGGCATTAACCCCTCGGTGACTGCACAGTGCCTGCGATCCGCACTGAGCACAGGTATTCCGGGAAGCGCGGGTGATGTGGCAGTGCGCCGCGGAGCTGAGGATGGGATGGGATGGCATGGGATGGGATTTGGGAACTTGGAGAAGGAAGGAAGCCAGAGTTAGCGGAGGACTGGGTCGCAGCGGGAGCGGGACAGGGGAGGGCCACAGAGCGCCGCCTCTTCGAAAACCTGGAAATCTGAAGGTTTACCAGACCCCGGCGGTGCCGAGGTGGGGGAGGGCGAAGTAAAGGCGTTTGTCCAGGTTAAATGCCCCCCAGCTACCCGACACACACCTTCGCCTCCAATCCCGAAAAGTCCTGGCATCAGACGAAAGTGGCAAAGAGGCTGGGCAAAAGTGAAGAAGTAAGTTAAACGTCCCTTGGGACCGGGGCCCCTACCCGGCATCTCCATTTCCCTGGAGGCCAGGGCCCAGAGCTCGGGCAGCTCTTCCTGGAGTCCCCACCTCCCCTTCGGGTGTATGAGAACCTGGCTCCGGCACAGACGTACCATTCCCTCGTCCTGGTCCTGGATCCCTCTCTGATCAGGCGAGCCCGTCGCAGTCCTGGCCGGCTGGTAGCTAACAGCCGTCCCAGTGTGGGTTTGCAGCCCCCTGAGTCCTATCCAGCTTGGGCACGTTCCCTCGGTGGGTGCTGGGCAGATGCAGGGCCATCTAAACGGTGGGGTGATGAGTAAGCAGAGCTTACTTTCTGGGTTGCCATGGCAGGTAGAGGCGTGGAGACACGGTGAGATTCTTTCAGACTGTGGAAGGCCGCAAGAAAAAAGACAAGGTAGGGGGGAGGGAGGTACTATCTCTGGGACATTGGAGAGGACTTCCCTCAAGTGTCCCAATGGAAGAGACTGCTGGGAAAAAGGCCTGGAGATGAGAAGAGCAGTGTGCTTGGAGCAAGTGTGTGTGGGGTTTGTGTGGGGCGGGCGGGGGGGCGGGGGCATAAGATGCAGGCACCAGCAGGGGTTGGAACCTAATTCTGAAAGCAGCGGAGGAAGCTGGGCCAAGTGGCTCAGGGCTGTTATCCCAGCGGTTTCGGAGGCTGAGGCAGAAGGATCATGAATTCAAAGCCAGCCTCTGCAATCCGGTGAGACCCTGTCTCTAAATAAAATATAAAATAGGGCTTGGGATATGGCTCAGTGGTTGAGTGCAATCCCTAGTACCAAAGCGGGGTGGGGGAAGCAACCAGCAAATGGAAGGAAGACATTAATGTCCTGCTGCTTCCCCAGCAGAAGACAAGAGAGTCCTGCTCTTCCCCCAGCCTGAGCTCCCAGTTCCCTGACTGTCCAGTACTTTAGCCAGGCCAGCAGTTTCCTGCCAGTCCCAGATGGCCATGTCACTCAGTTCTTTGTAAATCACAGGTGATAATTCCTACCTCATAAGGTGCCACCTTCCCCAACTTGTGGCTCTCCTTCCCCTTACAGGGCACAGCCACTCCCACAGAATGCCGGAGGGCCCTGAGCTGCATCTGGCCAGTCACTTTGTGAATGAAGCATGCAGAGGGCTGGTGTTTGGTGGGTGTGTGGAGAAGTCTTCTGTCAGCCGCAACCCTGAGGTGCCCTTTGAGAGCAGTGCCTACCATATCTCCGCCTCAGCCCGGGGCAAAGAGCTGCGCCTGACACTGAGTCCCCTGCCTGGGGCCCAGCCCCCACAGGAGCCACTGGCCCTCGTCTTCCGCTTTGGCATGTCTGGCTCCTTCCAGTTGGCACCTGCTGATGCACTGCCACCCCATGCTCATCTGCGCTTTTACACAGCTCCACCTGCTCCGAGGTTGGCTCTGTGCTTCGTGGATATCCGCCGATTTGGCCACTGGGACCCTGGGGGCAAGTGGCAGCCAGGTCGTGGGCCCTGTGTCTTGCTGGAATATGAACAGTTCAGGTAGGACAGCCCCAGGTGTAATGAACAGGCCTGGCTCTGGGTAAGTGCCTTGTTGGCCAACGGGGTGTGGGTCTCAGCCCTCAGAGAGTTCCCTCAGATGTGGTCCAAGACAGTGTCCATGTCCTGTCCCTTAGCTCCCTGAGTCAACGGATATGGAAACCTAAGACAGATGTGGGAGGTGAAGGAAGCCCAGAGGTGGATGGTTGGGCACTGCTCTGAGGACATAGAGCCAGTTACCATTGGAGCTGGAGCCCACGCTCAGAATTCCACTCTGCTCCTTGGTGCTCCTAGGAGGCTAGGAAAGGTGGAGGGTTTTGGCAACACAGTAGAGGTGAAGCTACATAGGTGAAATCGACCACCTAATGATAATAGTTTCTAAGTCAGGTTTTATTGCCCTACCACATTCTGCACTGTGTCCTGTGGTCTCCTCTATGACTAACCGTTGCCTATAGGAAAAGTAATAATTCATTTGGGATGTGGTTCAGGTCAAAGATAACATGGTGTCAGCCATGTCCTTCCCCCTAAAGAGGAAATTATGTATGAGTCTCTGTCTCTGTTTTGTGCGAGGCTTTATTTTAGGTTGAGGTTCAGGAGTGAGCAAGAACGTGGCCCCTGCTCCCACAGCACTAATGTTCTGGTAGGATGAGGGAACCAGGAAATACAAGATGAGTTCAAATAGACACATGCCTCAGGAAAAATCCAACAGGTGAAGGAAGAAAAGAGTGACTCTGAGGGTCGGGGAGTGCCTTGGGAATGACCACTCCAGGAAGGTGATATTTGAGCTAAGGCCTGACAGAACTGAGCCAGCCATGTAACGCTATGGAGGAAAGCATTCTAACTGGCAAAAATCACAGAGGCAAAGACCTGAAGTGCACTTGGCAAGTTCTCCCTCCTAGAGGGATCTTGTGTCTGCAGTTGTCACTTAGACTTGATCACTGCTGGCACTCCTCGCCTTCCTGGGCATGAAACTGGTGCCTCGCCAGGGAAACCTCTTTGCATGGTTCTGGCTTCCTTCCACTTCCCCTTTCCTAGGGAGTCAGGCCACAGGTTTTCTGCCAGCTGACACTGGAGTTTCTCATGATGAGCATTGAGGCTGTTTTCTTGGTCCTCCCACTGGGGAGCCTGTGGGGCTCTAAGCCCCACCCAGCAAGTCTTCCACCCTTACCTTAACCCAAGTATTGCCTCGCTTTCCTTGTACCCATCACCCAGTCATTCTTCCTTGATCTTTTTCTTTTTTTTTTTTTAAATTTATTTCTTACATTCATGACAATAGTGGAGTGCATTACATTCATAATTATCCATTCACAGCACAATTTTTTGTAACTCTGTATATAAAGTATGTTCACGCCAAATTATGCATTATACATGAACTCTTTTTTTGCATGAAATTCTTTTTTATATTTATTTTTTAGCTGTAGTTGGACATGATATCTTTATTTTATTTGTTTATTTTATGTGGTGCTGAGGATCGAACCCAGGGCCTCGCAGGTGCTAGGTGAGCGCTCTACCGCTGAGCCACAATCCCAGCCCCATATACAATTCTTAATACATCTTTATACCACTATTTATCATATTTCTGTTTGTATATAAGGTATGTTGACACCAAATTCACATCTTCATACATTTTGTATAATGATGACTGTCTCCTTCCACCATCCTAGCTATTCCCTTTCTCTCCCCTCCATTCCCTATCTAGAGGTAATTTTCCTCCCATGCTCTCTCTCCCTACCCCACTTTGAGTCATCCCCACTTATGTCAGAGAAAACATTGGGCATTTCTTTTTTTGGGATTGGCTAACTTCATTTAGCATAGTCTGCTCTAATGCCATCCATTTCCCTGCAAATGCCATGATCTTATTCTTTTTTAGTGCTGAGTAATATTCCATTGTATATAAATGCCATATATATTTTTTTTATCCATTCATCCACTGAAGGATATCTAGGTTGGCACCAGTTTAGCTACTGTGAATTGTGCTGCTATAAACATTGATGTGGCTGTGTCCCTGTAGTATGCTGTTTTTAGGTCCTTTGGGTATAGTCCAAGAAGAGGAATAGCTGGGTCAAATGGTGGTTACATTCCCAGCTTTCCTCTTCCTTGATCTTTTTCCACAAAGAAATAAGATGCATTTCTTCATCATGAATGAGGAGAACCCTGACAATTGGAGGTGAGCTGCTGGGTGCTCACTAGCCAAGGGTTGCTCTCAAATGTCTTCTGCACATAGCCAGGCAATCTTTAGGGTCCTGAGATGAGTGGAACCAACCAATGTCAAATCCACATATGGTCTCTAGCCAACCATGAATCCTAGACAATGTGTTGCAGACTACAGACATCCCTGAGGTTCTGTGATGACCTTGTGCTGAAAATTGTCCCGAGTCATCTAAGGAATTTTGTTGATAAACACACAACCATATATAGATGCATGTCCCTTGAACATATTGCCTTTTATGTTTTTTGTGTGTCTGTTTGTGGTGGTACTGGGGATTTAATCCAGGGGTAATCTACCATAAAGCTATATCCCAGTGCTTTTTTTATGTTGAGACAGGTTCTCACTAAGTTGCTGAGGCTGCTCTTGAACTTGCAATTCTCCTGTCTCAGCCTCTAAGTTGCTGGAATTACAGGTGTGTGCCACTGCACCTAGCTTGAACACATGCTTTTAATTAGTATTTTTCACCTTTCATAATAAATTTAAATCCATATTGTTCCCATTTAATAGATTGGAAAACTTAGGCTCCAGATGCCTACACAGCACTGAGGGGAGCTGGGACACCCAGTCTTCTTGTACTCAGGAACAGGTTCTCTCAGGCCCTTTCCCCTACCCCCGGGTTTGGGGATGGGTTTTATGCATCAGGCTGTACCCCTCCAGGGAGAATGTGCTACGAAACCTATCAGACAAGGCCTTTGACCGGCCCATCTGCGAGGCCCTCCTGGACCAGAGGTTCTTCAATGGCATTGGCAACTATCTGCGGGCAGAGATCCTATACCGGTCAGCAGGCAGGCCAAGGGCATGAGGGCTTCAGGGGTAGGTGTGCCAATACTAATGCTTAACATGGTCTCTTCTCCCACACCACTCCAGGCTGAGGATCCCTCCCTTTGAGAAGGCCCGCACTGTGCTAGAGGCCCTGCAGCACCACCGGCCGGTGAGGGTGCCAAGAGGGAGGGGTGATGCATGAGCATGCATGTCAGTACCTTATGTTGGCATAGGTGGCAAGGGCATGGGTATCTCCTGCTTAGCTCAACAATGTGTTTGTAGGGGGAGGAATGAGCTGCCTCAGAGTTTTGGCCAAGCACAGAGAGGAAGTCTGTTGCCTTCAGAGTGGCCCTGCCCCATGCTGACAGCTAGGTCCTCCTTGCCCCTTCTTCAGAGTCCAGAGATGACCCTGAGCCAGAAGATCAGGGCCAAGCTGCAAAACCCAGACCTGCTGGAACTGTGCCACTCAGTGCCAAAGGAAGTTGTTCAGCTGGGTGAGACCTGGGGAGGCCAAGATGGCCAGTGACTTCTGCTTCGGCATACTGTGTAACCCTGGGGCAGTTCTCTTTGAGACCCGGTTCCTCAACTGGAGGAGGGAGTTCATAAACCTGTTGTGACCAAAAAGACTAAGCCTCCTCTTGGCAAATGTCTGTTCCCCCAAGCCACCCATGTAATGAACAGGGCAAAGATTCTTAACCCTACTCCAGGGTGGGGAAGCCATGACTCAGAATCACACAATCAAGATGGGAGGAGAGGGGCTGCGGATGTGGCTCAAGCGGTAGTGCGCTCGCCTGACATGCGTGCGGCCCTGGTTCGATCCTCAGCACCACATAAAAACAAAGATGTTGTGTCTGCCAAAAACTAATATGTAAATAAAATATTAAAAAAAAAAAGGTGGGAGGAGAGAGAGCTTGGCTCCCTGGCTCAGTCCATCAGCTTGTGCAGCTGAGGTCTGGGCTAAGTTGAACCAGACTCCCCACTTCTCCTCAATCTGTGTCTGCCCTCTGACCTCCGCTGGTTCCTCTGTCCCATAGGGGGCAAAGGCTACGGGCCAGAGCACGGGGAAGAAGACTTTGCTGCCTTTCGAGCCTGGCTGAGGTGCTATGGCATGCCAGGCATGAGTTCTCTGCGGGATCGGCATGGCCGTACCATCTGGTTCCAGGTTTGGGCTCTATGGCTAGCATAGGCAAGAGATTCTAGGGAAGCCTGTGGGGTGGAAGGCACAATAGGGCAGGAATTGGGGTCTTTCCCAGGTGGAGACGCCTAGGACCTGTGGAGGCTTCTCAGGGGTCACCGTTCCTGACCCCCAGGGCCTAGCCAGTGGAGCAGTTCAAGAGCAGGACAGCTTTGTTGATATGAACTAAATTTGGGGGAGGTTTTTACTAGGTAGGGAACTATATTAATCTGAACAGCTGTGTTTCACCTCTCCAAGGAAAACTGCCCCTACCCTAACCCAGATTGATTCAGAATTGTCCTTGTACCATTTTAGGGTGATCCTGGGCCTCTGGCACCCAAAGGTAAGCAACTCTTCATGTAATAGGCTTAGAGAGTTATAAAGAACTTGCTTGCAAGGGCTCTAGCACCTTTCCTGATCCCATCCCTCTCAAACCCCTGGAGTAATCCCACAGAGTGGGAGTCTAGAGAAAGGGGCTGAGGCCATAGGATCCTCCAGCTCCAGTCTCATGTCCTACAGGGAGCAAATCCCAAAAAAAGAAATCTCAGGAAACACAGCTTCGGCCCAAGGAAAAATTGGAGGTATGGTTGCCAGCTCCTCCTTCTTCCCTTGCACTCTCTCCTGCCCTGACCATGCCTCTCAGGCCAGGCTCTGGCCATATAGGCTCTGGATGAAGTTGGGTGGGTTGGGGTCAATGGTGAATCCCAACTAACCTCAGAACTGCTCTGAGGAAAGCCTGCCATGGATTCTCAGGGACACGTGTCTCTGCCTAGGACCTTCCACCTCCAAACAAGGCCCCTTCCAGAACACCAAGGGCTAGGAGACACCTTCCCAAGAAGACTGCAATACAGCAGCCTGAGGAGACCAGCCTCCAACAGGACTTGAAAGCTCCCACAGTCCCTGAGAAAGGGAGGAGGAAGGGGAAACAGGCAACCACAGGTGGACTTTCTTCAGCATCCTCTGAGGAGGGAAGGGGGCCCCTAGAAAGTGTCTCTTCAGGATCCAATGGGATGGTAATGCAGGACTATGCAAACAGAGATGGACGCTACTGGGACCAGCCTGGCCTGCTGGTCTGAGCCAACTGTTTCATCTGTTCTCCCCACAGAGCGCCGTGGACCCTGGAAAAATAAGGCTGACAATCCATCCAAGGGATCTGGGAGAACCTCAGCCTCTTAGCAAGAGACTTGTGTTGCTTGCATCACCCTTTCCTTGCCAATAATCCGGAGGCCCATCTGAATTCCTAAGTATTTTAAGGGCTTTATGTCTCAAGCCTATGGCTGTTCCCTACATAACTGATATTTTTCATTGTACCTCACCTTCCACATTTAATTTTTTTTTTGTTGTTGTTGTAGATGGACACAAATAAATACATTATTATTTTTTTAAATGTGGTACCCCACATATGCTAGGCAAGTGCTGTACCACTGAGCAACAATCCTGGCCCCACCTTCCACATTTTTTAAAGCCCATGTGAGAAATGCATTTTTAAACTAAATTAATAAATTAATTTTTAAACTAAATTAATAAAACTGAATTTTCTTGGCACTTCTTGGGCTTGCTACAGAAGTTCTGAGATGGCCAGGTTGGAAGGACCTGCTACTTCATCCTGAGACAGAGCAAAATGAGCTCCCATACAGTCTCGAGATTAGCTATCAGAAGACAGGGCCAGTCACTTGGCAAAAGTGTGGAGACTCTGGCTTCAGATAGCCCAGGCTCTATAGCTCTTCTAGACTAAAGTTCTTCAGGGTCTCTGGCTATTTCACCAGCCTGACCTGGGCTATTCACAGCTTCTCTGCCCGCTGGCACAGGGGAAGAGCTTTTTATCTCAGGGTCTCTTGGCATATTGTTACCCAAGGTCCCCAATCTCTCTCTCAGGGGCTGCAGCCCAGACCCTGCACACAAAGGTCCCCTTTGATATTGTCTCTGCTTCTATATACCTGGGAAGAAGCCATCCCCTTAAGCTTAAGGATGAATTCTTGGGAGTCAGGAGGAATTATCAGCAGGGTTACTGATCCAAGGATTTATTATATAAGAAGTGGCTGATCCTTGTTTCAGGTTTGGGGGGCAGAAATGAGGACTTCCCAAAACTTTCCATAAACAAAACACCATCCTCAGTTTGGTGGAGGGTGAAGCACAAGTAACAAGGACCTCACTTGGAAAGGAGAAAAGGTGAGCTTTAGTCGGGCATCTTGAAGGGGCAGGTGGCCAGCAGGGTCTCGCCTCTCAAGGAAGTCACAGCTGGAGAACAGAAAGGGCCTATGAGGGCCTGGAGCAGGTAGGACTTCCACCTCCACCTCCATCCCCACCTTGCTGCTTTGCTTACAGGACAGCTTCCTGGACTGGCAGTGATGTGTGCAGCCAGCAGTCCACATGGCTGCCATGGGCCTCATACAGCCTCAGGACCAGTGTGCGGCTCTGGGGGTTGGTCTCAGCCTGGGGAGGGAGGCAGGTGGTAGGAAAGGTTGTGGGTGTGCCCAGTCAGGAACCCCACCCCCAGACCATGCTGCTCCTTGCCTGCTTGACAGTCTCCAGTACGACTGCTGGTGATGATAGGGAAAAGGCACTCCAGGTGGCAGCAGGAGCAGGGCCTGGTGCCGGAAGTGCCAATAAGGGGAAGTTGAGGTTGTAGGCAGCAGGGATAACACCAGCATCCTGGAAGGAGCCTGGAATATGACCAGAAAGAGAGGCATGGTGGAAAACGGGCTCCCCCTATGCATCCAGAGGGTGCTGGGGGCCAGGCCCCAGGGTTTAACCCAATGACTGCTTCAAGCTCAAAGAAGGGCAGAGGTGTCTAGGGCCCAAAGAGAACTCCAGTATCCCCAGAACTCACCCTTGTGAGGCATCAGTGCGTAGGTGAACTCATGGCGCCCCATGTCAGCAGTGGTGTCTGGGGCCTTAGGTGCCCGCAAGCTGGGGTGGGAAAGTATGGACCCAGCTAGAGCTGTTGGAGTTCCAACCTGGGAAGGCCCACACCCCATGCCAGTCCTTGGTGTGGTAGGCACCCCACTCACAGTGAAAGGCTGAGGACACTGCCTTGTACTGATGCGCCATACTTGCTGTCATTGAGCAGAGCCAGCCCAAAGCCATGCTCTGACAGATCCATCCAGCGGTGGGCCCACACCTGAAAGGCAGATTCACTTGGTAGCCCCATTCCCTTCTTTGTGCCCTAGTCTTCAGAGCTTCTGTCACTTGGGTGACAGCAAGCTTTGGAACCCATGATTGAATTCTAGCTCCCACTCAAGGAGACCCCGGGGATACCACCCAACCTGCCTCAGTCTCTGTTTCCTCCTCTGTGAAGTGGGAATAAATGGTCATGAGTATCAAACTAAATTTAAAGCATTAGCACAATGCCTGACACATTAGGAGGCAGAAAATATTGGACATCTTCCTCGTCCTCTCCCATACCACACAACTAGTCTCCTCAGAGGATCAAAGCCCCTCCTTTTCCCTCCTTCCCCATTTCGGACCTCAAATCGAGCCCAGTCCCAAGAAGTGTTGTAGTGGGTGGGCCGCTGCAGGTGCCCAAACTGGATCTCATAGGTAGCCTGGGGGCTCCGCACTCGGGCAGGGAACTCCACCTTTAGAAACTTGTGGGCCTCATTCCAATGTACCTAGGAGTAGGGGAGAGAAGGGAACAGGGAAGGGAGGGACACACATAGGTTGGGGTTGGCCCCTCCTTACCAATTACACTTGGGAAAGATGGCCACACCCTGCCCCTGCTACCTCGGTGTGGAAGCGGACATAGGGGCAGCCAACATCCAGGACAACCTCCTGGCTAAGCCGACTATTGGGGCTGATCTGTAGCAGGAACCAGGCACTGCCCCGAAGGCCACCCTCACTGCCAACTGCCAGGGTCCCTGGCTGGCCTAGGACAGGTTTCCTGTGGGATGAGATAAGAGGCACTAAGCTAGGGCAGCCAGTATCTCCCCAGCTCCCCCCATTGTCTCTAGTCCTGCCCGGCTTTATACCGTGTCTCTAGGTGGTAGTCCATGACATCCCATGCATCCCAGTACAAGGGGACATCATCAAACAGCACAAACTGGTTCCCAAGAGCACCCTCAGCAATGGCCTCCCTGGAAGGACATGGGGATTGGTGTTTTACAACTCTATGACCTTGCTTTCTCCAGTTGCACTTGGTGGGGTAGGAGCAGGTAAGGAGACCCAGAGGACAGGGACTCCTAGCCTGGCTGATGCCATTCTTTGTGTGGGTCCCAACCCAGAGACATTGGTGGACTCTTATGGGCAGTATTGTGGCCAAGGGACAAAAAGAACAGGGTCTGGGATCCACTTGTCAGGCACAAGGAAAGGACAGTGAGGAGTTGGCACCTGCCAGAGGCCACCAGGACCAGAGATGTCAGGCGGCCAGTTGGATCCAGGCTCACTCGGATGATGCCATTGTCCAGAGTCACGGAACCATCAGTCTTGAGTGGGAGGGGGCCTTGAGGCTGTTTCTATAAAGGCTTCCTACAACCAACAGCTGCCCCAGCTCCACCCCAGCCCTGCTGGGGCTGTGTACTGCTCCACCCCCTTGTTCCAGGATAGGGAACTCAGAACACCAAAGTCATTAGGCAGTATCCCAGGCCAGCTCCTACCCCACCAAGAACCACCAGGACTCACCTCTTGTACCACAAACACAGGCTGCTGGGGTAGCAAGGGCTGCGGTAAGGTGGGGGTGGGAGCAGAAGCATAGCCCATGCTGGGCACTGTCACCAGGGCTGGGAATGAGGCCTGGGTATCAGTGCTGCCTCCCTAACCTTCCACAAAMCTTGTTCAGGTAGGGGTAGGGGTAATGAAGGATGTGGCTACTACTCCCCAGCCTGACATACTCCAAGGCAAAGATCCCCAGGGGAGGGTCCCTGCCTTGATCTGTCTGGCCTTGGTCTCTTCTGACACAGTAGCAGTCCACCTCTCAGCTCATACCTAGACAGTGGGCCCCTCCAGGCTTGGGCAAGGACAACACTTCGGTGCGCTTCCAGGGCAGTGTGTTGACAATGAGGAGGCCCTCGGGACCTGGCTCCCCAGCACACAGGGCTGCAGCTGCAGCACTGAGCAGTGTATTCCCATGGGAACGGATATCTGAGGAGAGACTGGCTGGTCATAGGGGGAGGGGCAGTGCATCTGAGATGACCTGAGTGTCCACAAAGGACACTATGCTCAGACCTGGGTTGGAGAGAGTAGCAGGACTATTGTTAGCCTCACCTTCATAGTGGCTCATGGCATCCTCTGCCACCAACTGGATGCAGCTTCCAGTGACCACATCATGGAACTGGTTCAGAAGTAAGAGCCTACAGGGGCCAAGGGTAGGGAGGGGAAAGGCTGAGAAGGGGAAGTTGGGAGGGGCAGCCTTAGAGATGTCTGTGGTGAGAGGTCAGGTAGGCACTGGTGGGTAGATGCTAGGCTGACCTCCAGAGGTGCTGTAGCTGTGCTGCTGGGTATAGGAACTGGGCACTGCGGGCCAGGGCTAGGCTGCTGAGCAACTCCACATCATGTAGGATTCGTTCACATTCTCGGTTCCCCTTCTTGATCTGTGCCCAGGTGGAGGGATCAGTCTGGAGTCTGCTCAAGCATCCCAGGACACCTTCCAAAGCCCTTCTTTGCTCAGAACCCCTGATGGCTCCCCAGGGACTGCCAGATAAGGCCTCATGTGGGCAACCTGCCCTAAGTGCTCTCCTCTGCTCCCCTCCACCCAAACCTTCCTCTTCTACAGAGACTGTCCTGCCTCCTGCAAGCTTTCCTGAAGACCAAGTTCTTATACTTCTCTCCTCCAAGCCTCTTCTTGGAACAGGGGCTCTGTCCCTCCCCTCCCTTGCCCTCTGCAGACCTATGGCAGACCAGCAGCCTGGCCCTGACCTGGGCATGCGTGGTGTAAGTGCCGTTGTGCAGCTCCAGGAAGAGCTCCCCGACCCATGTGCACAGCTGTTCTGAGTCACTCTCCAGTGCCTTGAAGAGCTGCCCTGGAGAAGACAGCTGCACCCTGAGGGAGACCACAAGCTTGGGTCTCCCTGCCAGGGGCCACAAAGCTCAGCCTTCCTCTACTCCAAGAGATAAAGAGTCAAGCCTCGACAGGGAAGCCATTCTAGAAAACTCCCTGCCCATACAGTACTGGACTGGATATCTGGGAGAGTTGCATACTGTGGTGGGTTTGAATTCCTTCCCACCCTCAGCATTTCTCCTCCCTATTTCCAAGTAGGAGTTGGGGAAGGGAGCAAGATAAGGTCTGTCCAGTCGTGGCAGGGGAGCCCCATGTATGAGCAGAAGAAAGGCAACAGGTAAGGGCTAAGAGTAGGGCTTCGTACAGCCAAGGGCTACTAACGGCCCAGGCCTGACCTGGGCAGTCCGTCAGTATTGCCCAGCCTCTTCAAGCGGTCCAGCATGGTCTGAGTGGG